TATTTGTTTTGAATTGAAAACAATATTTAATTACGATTTCAATCAATCCATTCAATCACTAGATTTGGTCTCAAGATATGGCACAACAGTTGACACATTTGATGGCATCACTCGAGACCACAGATGACGGCAATGAAGACAATTACACACAACAGGTATTTCACTAACAATTCACTGTTTATTGAGTTTTCATTGTTTTTGTTAACCATTTTAGCCACAAATGTATGCCAAAGACTCTTTGGATCGATTCGGTGATGACATGTTTGGTATTTTGTTGTCTTATCTTTCACTCGAAGACCGTTTTCGCTGCGAATGTGTGTCCAAACAGTTCCAGAGGATAGGATTGGGCGGAGCTGTGAATATTGAAATCAATGAACAGCTTATTTCACACATAATTTATAATCGTGTGAAAAAACCTGAAAATACAAACTATGATTTATCTGAGGTATTCAAATAAATTGTCATAAATTAGTTAAACCAATATTTTGTACTATTAAATGCTTATAATATGACCATTTTATATTATGCTAGTTGTTTGGCAACATGTTAATGACCACGTCAACATTTTTATCAAAAACAACTCAACCGATGGAAACAATTGCTAAAAAGTGTCCAAACATTGAGACCATTGACTGCCGAGGAATGAGAGAAACGGATTTAGTGTTGAGATCTGACGAACCAATACTTAAAATGCTGTTAATATTTCGAGACAATTGCCGACATTTACGGGAAATTTACTGCAATTTATTGCCAGATAATAACAGTTCGAATGAAGAATATAAAAACGATTTGCTTTCACTCGAAAAAGACATTCACATTCATTACCACCGATTGTCTCATTCGTCGATCTCTTTAGAGGATTTAGACAACGAACTCATTCACTACATCGTTGGTAAACAAATGGTGACAAAGAATTTAATGAAACTTGAGTTAAATCTCGAACAAAGTTTTAGTTTCGATGACAATCACCGGTTGTCGGCATTATTTAGTGACAATCAATCGCTAAAATGTATTATCATTACCGAAATGGAGGCACACAGTGAGGACACTGTCACCGAACTGGCCGTCCATTTGTCACGATTACCACAATTACAGGACTTAACACTCAATTTATACGCTCAGTCCCAACAGTTTTCATTGGCCGCCGCTTTGCGTACAATTGGCTTAAACTGCAAACAATTGCAACGATTGTCACTCACATTGAAGTCGAGTAGTATTAGGACTTACGCTCAGAAATTGGATTCATCGGAAGTGTTTCGACAATTAAAACGATTGCATTTAGCTCTTAGATATAAACCGATTCGCAATTGGCCCGCATATAAAACTATTGGATTGGATATATATATTCCGGTAAAAACATTAACGCATTTATCGTTCAGATTCCGTCAAATAAGCGGCAAATTGTTAGACAATTGTCACGAACTGTGGCCACGACTTCAATACCTGTTTATTGAATGCCAACACATCAGGTGTTTGTCACACATCTCAAGACTACCGGCGCTACAAATGCTTGTCATTCAATGCAATGGAAACAATGGTCTCTCAGATAACGATTTGAATGCTGTGTTGTCTTCGAGTCCTAAACTCAAGACAATTGAAATCCGTGTAAACAATGAGAAGAAGTTTTATTACCGTAAATAATTTCTATTGTAATATTAATATTAATGTAATATAATTGCACTTTTACATGGTAATAAAAAATTAAACTATTATCAAACTATTTCCTCTTCATTGCGTTCATAACGTGTTTCTAAAACATTTAAACTAATTTTTAATTAAAAATATAGTTTGGAATTTACACAAATATTTTCTATTTATATTCAATTATAAATGACATGTTGTGAACAATTTTAGTATTCAATTAATTAATTTTTTCTTTAATTTAAAATACATAGCATTTAAATAATATATTATTCATCACTGATCACAAGAATCAAGTCTCCGCACAACACAAACAGTCACTCATTTGTTGCCACCGATTGTCTCGATTACATATCTACTCGTTGTCCGCTGTCTTCGACAAAACTTCCCAACAGTTATTGGTTAAGAATTTACACAAATTCTCATTTATTTTTAAATCAAGTCATTTGTTTTAATTGTTTTTATTTTTATTATAAATTTGTAATTAAAATTTACTACTAATTCAAGTAATAAATTATTATAAATAATTAATATAAATGTTATAAATCAAGTTTTAATTGTTTATTCTACATTAAATGTAGTAAATTTTATTACTGTACTTTATAATTACGGTATATAATTATTATTATCATGTAATAGATGTGGCAAATAATTAAGGTTTACTTTAATTTATTCAATACTTAATACACTTATTAATAAAATTTATTTTAAATTTATTCAATTATAGGATTTAAATAAATGTAAACGAAATGATTTAACAAAAGTTGTGAATTAAAACTCATTGAAAGTGTGGTCTAAATGTGTCACAAATATGAGTGAATGTGAGTGAGATGTCAGACAGTCTGACTCAGACTTGTTGTCAACACATAGTGTTTGGTTTGTATTGAATGTAAATATTATCACATGTTTTGCATTGAATGACAAAAACAATTCATCACTTCATTTGATCCCAAAAGTGTTATGTTTTCAATTGAATTCAATGTAAATGTAAAACATATTTGCTTTTAATTTGTCATTAAAAATATTACAATTACTTAATTTTAATTTATAAATATTCATTAAAAGTAAATTAAAATAAAATTTATTTTTGCTTTGAATAAAACTTCTTCTCATTGTTTACATGGATTTCAATTGTCTTGAGTTTAGGACTCGAAGACAACAGATCCGTGAAAACATTGTCTTCGATATCATCGATAATAATGGCGTTAATGACAAGAGTTTTGAGAGCCGTTAGTCTTGATATGCGGTCCAAACGCCGGCCTTTAAAATATAGGCATTGAATGGACAGGTGTTGAAGTCGTGGCCACAGTTTATAAAACTTGTCACACAATTTAAACTCCATTTCCCAGCATATGATCGATAAATGCGTTAATCTCTGGCCGGGAAGCGATGGATCAAACGAGTGATGATTGCTATTCTTAAAACTAATCCCTTCATAACTGGGAGTTGTATTCAATAGTTTGTGTTTTCGCCAAATATTCAATAAATTCATTATCTGTTTCTCGACTTTTGCGGTCTTAGAGCCCAATACGAGTGACAATCGCTTCAATTGTTTGCAATTCACGCCAATTGTTTGCATAGATTCGGTGAATGAGTATTGTTTGGGATATTCCAGGAATTGAAGCGTCAATTGCCGTAAACGTGGCAAATATGACAATTGTTGGATCAGTTCAGTGATAGTCTTCTGACTGTTGATTGTTATGACAAGACATGTGAGGGACTGATTGTGGACAACAAATGCGGACAACATGTGGTTTCTGACGTATTTGTCGTCAAATGTAAACTCAAAGGCCAACAGATTCTTAACCATCACTTCTCCCCAATACTTGTCAAACACTTGTCGTATTGAGTCCACAGTTAAATGAGACAATCGGTGGTAATGAATGAGTGAGTGTTTGGGAGCAACACATGTGAGTCGTGTGATCAGTGGTCCGAAGTATGAAATGTGTTGATAACAACCCTTTGGGTGTAAATTGCAGTAAATGTGCCGCAAATGCACACAATTTTCGTGAAATATTGTCAACACTTTAGCCAACGTTTCATCTAATAATTGTATTCCTCGGCAGTCAATGATCACAAGGTTTGCACACTTTATGGCAATTGTTTCCATCATTTCACTCATTGTTTTGTTTGTGTTTTGCATTTGTCTTATGAGGCGCTCATTGATTATGAACTCCACAACACTATCGAAGACAGTCCTCTGGAACTGTTTGGACACATATTCGTAACGGAATCGGTCTTCGAGTGAGAGATAAGACAATATGAGTGCACACATGTCATCACCGAATCTGTCCATTGAGTTCTTCGCATACATTTGTGGCTAAAATGTGAGACAAAAACAAAATTCAATAAACAGTCGATAATTTGTCACTCAATACCTTGTCTTCGGTGTCATCTCTTGTCTCGAGTGATGCCATCGTTTGTGTCAACTGTTGTCCCATATCTTGAGATCAAATGAAGTGATTGTATGAATGATTTGAATAAATAAATATATTTAAAGTATTTTTTGTTATAAATGGTAAACAAAAGCAAAAATTACATAATATTTGCGCTTAAAGTCATTTAAAACGTACCGAAGTTTTAATACCATTAATAATAACAGTATTTATGCTATAATTAAAGTTTAATACAATATATTATATTCATATCGATTGGGACTAAATCTACGTCTATATAGCCATACAAAACAGCATTCAATACAATTGTACATAAAGTATAAACTTTTTACCAAAACATTTTGCCCACACTTTTATACTGTAATATAATTGTTGTTTAATTATATTAAAAATCATATTTAATTAAATTGTATTTTAAAAATAATGCAATTGTTTGATAATATACTAAATCAATACACAATTCACTTTTGTTTTTAACAATAAATATTTACTTTATTTGACGATAGGTTTTCAATTACAATATCGTAACGAGAGTTGTCTGTATTGCCACAGCTATGCTTACATTCGCAATATTGAATACAGACTATTATCGTTATATTTCATAACAATAACAACACATCATTTATTATGTTTTACAAAATCATTGATTTTGTATTTGTTTTGAATTGAAAACAATATTTAATTACGATTTCAATCAATCCATTCAATCACTAGATTTGGTCTCAAGATATGGCACAACAGTTGACACATTTGATGGCATCACTCGAGACCACAGATGACGGCAATGAAGACAATTACACACAACAGGTATTTCACAAACAATTCACTGTTTATTGAGTTTTCATTGTTTTTGTTAATCATTTTAGACACAGATATACGCGAAGAACTCAATGGACAGATTCGGTGATGATTTGTGTGCACTTCTCGTGTCTTACTTTCCACTCGAATACCGATTCCGTTACGAATGTGTGTCCAAACAGTTCCAGAGGACAGTCTTCGGGAGTGTTGTGGACATCAGAATCAATTACCGACTCATTCAACAAATAGTCAACAAAAACTCAAAAATGAATGAAACAATCAAAACAATTGCCACAAAGTGTCCAAACATTGCGACCATTGACTGCCGAGAAATGAACAAATCATTTGATAACCGAATACCCGAAGTGTTGAACACATTTCACGACAATTGCCGGCATTTAAGGGAAATTTACTACAATTTACGGCGAAATTACTTCCAATGGATCCCAAAGTTGTCGCCTTTTGTGACCCGAATCGGTAGCGTTTCGGCCAAACATTCACTCATTCAATGCCACCGATTGTCTCATTTGTCGGTCACTACTCTTCGAGATGTGTTCGACGACTATTCCCATCAATTGATGGCAAAGAATTTGTTGGGATTTGAGTTCACATTCAGACTAAAAGAAGATAATAAGCATATGTTTTGGGAGTTTGTGACAGAGAATCAGTCGCTGCAGAGTCTGACCATCAATGCGATCAAAGTCAAGAATGCGGACACTATCACTGAACTGATCCAACAGTTGTCACGATTACTACATTTACGGGATTTGAAGCTCGAATTCCTCGAATTTTTTATACCAATCTCTTCGCTGAACGACTTTTTACTTACAATTGGTGTGAATTGCAAACAATTGAAGCGATTGTCACTCGTATTGGGCGCTCAGATCACAGAAATCAATGTCCAATCATGGGATCAGTTGAAGTGTTTTCCGAAACTCAAACGATTGAATTTGCATTTTAATTCACAATTGATTTATCTCTCGATTCCCTGCAAACGATTAACGCATTTATCGATCAAATGCTCGCAAATGAACAGTAATTTGTTAGACAATTGTCACGAACTTTGGCCACGACTTCAATACCTGTTGGTTAAGAACCAGTATTTTGAGAGTAAGTGTTTGTCACACATCTCAAGACTACCGGCGCTGCAGACACTTGTCATTCAATCCCATTTTAATCTTTCGGATAAGGATTTCCCGGATGTGTTTTCAAGAACTCCTAAATTAAAGAATATTGAAATACGTGTCAACAAATTCTCGGCGTTTTATTGCCGTAAAAACGGCCAATGTGAATTAAATTCCTTTAGTTATTTGAGTTAAATTATATTTAAATTACTGTTTATTTCAATAATTATAATGAACTGTAATTAATGTAAATTTATTGTATTTTTAAAGTAAAAATAGTTTAATTATGCATATAATGGCCCAAAAGTGTAAAGAATTGTAAATTAAAAATGTCATTATTTTTTAATTAACAAATATAACTATGTGTTTAATTATAATTTTAATTCATATAAATAAACTAAAATAACGAGTCCTGTCATTACAATCACATAATTATCAGATAATAATAATTTGTTGTTTTTGACATAAATGTTGTCAATTAGGTTTGAATTAAGATATTCCTCTAGAATATTATTTTTTGCATCCATTCTATTGATACTGTATATACAATTTGATACATAATTTATCAAATAAATTATATTTAACATTTATATTTAATAATTGATGAATGTAATAAAAGTTATTAAAGTAAAACTTAATTAAAAACTTATAAATAAATTTATTTAATTTTACTAAAATACTTTTTGAGTTTCATTTCTATTGTGGAAATGTTTTGAACTATAAATATCCCAATCTCTAAATACTCTAAATATTCTTTAACTGATTTTTAAAAATTGTATTTTAAATAATTATTTAATTAAAAGTTTTATTTTACATCAATTAAAAACATGAAAGTAAAGTTTGTTAATTATTTATTTAAAATGTTTGATAAGTTGAATTGTTTTTCAATTATATACCGTAATATTTAAATGCAAATAAAAAATTCATATTAAAATAAACTATTGATAAACATTTGTTACATTTTTACGGCAATAAAACATCGAAACAATATTTACACGGATTTCAATGTTCTTGAGTTTAGGACTTTTGGACAACACATCACACAAATCATTATCTTTCGGGCATTTAGTCAAACCCTTGATGACAAGCATTTGCAGCGCCGGTAGTCTTGAGATGTGAGATAAACACTTGCGGGTGATATCATTATATACAATGGTTAGATATTGAAGTCGTGGCCACTGTTTATCACAATTAATAAGTAGTTTATCACTCATTAGTCTTGAATTAATTATTAAATGCGTTAATCGGTGGCAGAGTTTTAACGGTTCCAGCGCTTCCTCATCGATAATCATATATAGTGTTAATTCTAATCGTTTTAATCTGTGATAACAATGCAATGAATCCAATGTCTGGCCATTGAGTTGAAAGTTATTTGAACGCAATTCAAGTGCCAATCGTTGCAATTGTTTGCAGTTTAAGCCAATTGTACGCAAAGACTCAGACAATGAGTTCTCGCTATCGATTAGCTTTGAATTGAGTCTCAGTTCCCGTAATTGTATTAATTGTGACAATTGTGTAGATATTTGGGTAAAAGCCCCGAATGAGTACTGATGAACACTTACCACAAGACTTTTGAGGGACTGATTTTGTGCAACAAATGCAGACAACAGTTCCTTATTATCACTGGATTTATAAGAAAATTCAAATTTCTGCAAATCTTTTGCTAACAATTGTCCGGAAGTGTTATCGAAGACGTCGGACAACAAGTGGACCCGTAATCGAGACAATCGGTAACAATGAATGAGTGATTGTTTGTGTTGTGGGAAAAGACTATTGATTCTTGTGATGAGAGGACAGTAGATGTGATACAAGTAATCGCTATTTAAACGTAAATCGCAATGAATTTCTCGCAAATGCCGACAATTGTCTCGAAATATATTCAAAATGTCGGGAATTATTAGATCACATAATGGTATTCCTCGACAGTCAATGGTCTGAATGTTTTGACATTTTATGGCAATTCTAGTCAACAATTGTGTGTCAAATGAAATCTCGGGTTTCTTTCTACTCAATGTGTTGTAAATATCGGCAAACATTTGACGCAAACTTATATTTTCCAGCGATTTATGTTTAAACAATTCGTTATCAATATTGATATCCACAACACTCTCGAAGACTGTCCTCTGAAACCGTTTTGACACACATTCGTAACGGAATCGGTCTTCGAGTGAGAGATAAGACAACAGAAGTGCACACAAATCATCACCGAATCTGTCCATTGAGTTCTTCGCAGAGCTTTTTGGCTAAAATGTGAGACAAAAACAATTAAAACTTAATAAACATTCAATTGTTAATCAAATACCTGATGTATTGAATACAATATTTCATCTTCTTTGCCGTCATCTGTGGTAACACCTGATCTCATGTGTTGTGTCATATTTTGTGTCCAAATGAAGTGATTGTATGAATGGTTTGATTAATAAATATATGAAAATTATTTTGTTAGTAAACGTCAATAAATTCCACAAAAATGAATGAAATAAATGCAATAATTGTTGCAATAAGTGCTGTATTGACACAATTAAGGAAATGGTTTCTACGAAACCTTAACTAACATATAAATGTGATAATACTATTCACATCGAAACCATGGCATCACATAATTATCTGTTTTTATTCAAGTCAATAGTTTTTATTTATTACGTTAAATGTATTTAATTATTCCTGAGATCAACAAGTTTATTTAATTATTAACATATAGAGTATTAATATTGAAGTTTTGAATAAGTTTTAATTCAACTTTATAGATAAAACACTATTAAGAAGAAACAATGAAATTAATTTAAACTTATGGTTAGAATTATATTTAAATGCGGTTGTAATTTAATTAAAAGTTGAATACAAATGACTAATAATACAATTAAATGCAAATATAAAATTTAAAAAAATTGAAAACATATAGTAATTTAGTTGTCTTATGGCATGAAATCAATTATCACAGAAAGTAATCGGGATTTGGTCTCTTCGTATGTAAGCCATGTCTTTCCTATCAATATTAAAAAGTACACAAAGTTATTACAATTGAAAAATTTTAGATTCAATGTTCAATAATAAAATGCTTTCATCACTCATGAAAAATACCATAAATGAATAAACATTGTCAAAACAAATAGAAAGCACAAAAACCTTGTTCGAGTCCTCAAAAATAAAAAAAGTTTTGTGAAGTGTATCATCAAGTATTAGAATAGCGGCCACATTACGGCATCGGTAGCAGTAATTGGGTGCCGACCACACCGTCAGTACAGTCCTATTGTGGTCATATTTGAAGCCTTCCTGCACTAACTGATGAGACCTACAAATCAGGTCTAAATGATTGGTTGCGTTGAATTGTGAGACCACGTCTGACCCAAACACATAACCGGCACCTCTGGGCGACACTTTCCAGCCCTTTATGTCTTCGGGGTCTGACCACAACAGGTCACACATTGGGCCGTTGTTTGGCACCTCTTGTATGCGGTCAATCACCCGGATTTGATCCAATGTCTGAATGGCTGGACTCAGCCCTCCGTGAACACAGAATATCTAATATAAATTAATAAAATATTTGATCGTAAGTTTAATACTCATAGAAATATACAGCAAAGAGTAATACCTGTCCGTCAATAATGGCAGAAATGGGCAGATAATCAAAAATATCGGTACAATATTTCCAAACGGTTGCCGAACCGTACTTTCGGAGGCACTCGTCATAAAAGCCGTAGATTTGTGTTATTTGTCTGGACTCGTGGTTACCTCTAATCAGTGTAATCCTATCGGCGTATCGAACCTAATGAATGTCCGAAACAATTAATATGTTAATTAATTTTATAATTTAATAAAATTTCATAATAAGAATCACTTTTTCATACCTTAAGCGCTAATAATAGTAGAAAAGTTTGGACCGAATGATAGCCCCGGTCGACAAAGTCTCCCATAAACAGGTAGTTAGTGTCCGGACAGTCGTCACCCCTTTTGAACAACTCTAACAGATCGTAGAACTGGCCGTGAATGTCACCGCACACCTGATCCACACCACACACACACACATACCATCATTATTATAACCATAAAAATCATAACCATTATTATGTCTTAAGACAACACAATAAAGTGAATGGCAATAAAGTTTACATACAGTGACGGGTGCGTCGACACGCTGTACATTAGACTCGTTGACCAGTATTTCCTTGGCTTTGAGACAAAGACTCTTCACTTCGGACTCAGTAATCAATTCACATCTTCTCAGTTGTTGTATCTGACGATCGAGTGAAGAACTAGTGGCCGTCGATAGCAACAACTGGTCGCTCGAATCATCGGAAGTATAAGAGGTATTATTGGTGTGATTGTTAGGAGTGATGACTGGATCGCTGTTATCACTAATACTTCCACTAATAACACTAACTTCGGTGACCATCGCATCACACTTTGTGCTATAGTTTATATGATTATTACGTCTTGAAGTGCCGGCCACTGAATCGGTCCCTAAATTGTCATTTATTTAAGGAAATAATTATTTTCAATAAAAGTGATTATTATTTAATTGTTTAATAGATGTAATCACCGATTCTGTCCATTGAGTTCTTCGCATACATTTGTGGCTAAAATGTAAAACAAATAAGATTAAAACTCAATAAACAGTGAATTGTTTGTCAAATACCTGCTGAATGTTGTCTTCAATGCCGTCATCTGTGGTAAAGCGTAATGTCTTCGTTGGCATCACAAATGATATCTTCAAGTCTTTCAACTCTTGTCTCATATCTTGAGATCAAATGAAGTGATTGTATGCATAGTTTGATTAGTAAAAGTGTTGTCATATCTCTAAACGTGAAATACTTTCAAATAATTGGTCTGAAAAGCAGTGGCAGAATATTTCTCTCAAATGTCGGCAATTGTCTTGAAATATGTTCAACACTTGAAGTATGCGTTCATATGATGTGAATATTATTCCTCGACAGTCAATATACTGAATGTTTGGACACTTTATGGCAATTGATTTAAACAAATGCTTTAGAGTTGTCTTTCGTTTCTTTGTTTTATCCATAAGTCTATCGTTAAGAGTAATGCCGACAACACTCTTGAAGACAGTCTTCTGGAACTGTTTCGACACAGATTCCAATCGGAATCGGTCTTCAAATGTGAGATAAGACAACAGAAATGCATACAATTCACCACCAAATCTGTCCATTGAGTTCTTCGGATTGAATTGAAACTAAAATATTAGATAAAACATTTAAAACTAAACAAACGGTTAATTGTTTGTCAAAACCTGTTTTCTATTGTCTTCATTGCCGTCATCTGTAGTAAGGAGTGATGTCTTCTTTGGTGTCATTTCTTGCATCATATCTTGGGATCACATGAAGTGATTGTATGAATAGTCTATTAAACAAAATATATTTACATCTTAAATGAAATGTCAGTAAAAACTTTATATTTAAAAGTAAAGTTAAATAACTGTTAAAAGTATAAAAGTTATTAAACATTACTTCACAACTACTTTACAAACTTCATGCAATTTAAATAATAATATATTGATTACTATTTGTATTAAGCATTTCTCATAACATTTAATAACAATAATATTACGGCAAGTATTTTATAAAACATACATTACTTCACAACTACTTTACAAACTTCATGCAATTTAAATAATAATATATTGATTACTATTTGTATTAAGCATTTCTCATAACATTTAATAACAATAATATTACGGCAAGTATTTTATAAAACAGATAACATGTTATGTAATCAAACGTAACATTGCATCAGAAAATGTGAAATAATCTTAAGCAAAGGGTAATGAAAAATATTTGAATGAATTGTATTTCTTATGATAGCTATTAATGAAACCAATTGTAGTAATAATTTATAAACAAAAAATATAGCAATTAATAAATTGCTTTGAATTTAATGTAAATTAATGTTTATTTATTTTTAAAGAAATTAATCGACACTTTTATTTTAAAAATTAAACAGCATTTATAAATATGAATATTTATTTTTAAAAACAATTTGCTATTTAAATAATTGTCAGAAATTTATATTTTATTTATTAAAAATCGGCACTTAATTGAATTGCATTAAAATCACTAAACATTTCCTTTAATTTTACTTTGAATAAAACTTTTTCGCATTGTTTTCAATGACTTCAATGTTCTTGAGTTTAGGACTTTTGGACAACAGATCCGTGAAATCATTGTCCGAGAGATTAATGTTTGGCTTGACTTCAATGACAAGCATTTGAAGCGCCGGTAGTCTTGAGATGTGATTCAAACACTTTCTGCCTATCTGTCTATTAATGTCAATAATAGAAAGATATTGAAGTCGTGAACAATTTTTAATACAATTTTTCAACAATTTTGATGTAATTCCCGTCACATCGAGAGTTAAATGTGATAATCGGTGGCAAAGTTCTAACGGATCCAACAACTTATTGTCGGCAAAATCTAGCTTTACATACAATCGTTTTAGTCGGGAATAACTTCTTAATGGTTCCAATGGCTGGACATTTGATCTATCGAATGATAATTCAAGTGATAATCGTTTCAATTGTTTGCAATTCACGCCAATTGTGCGCAAAGAGTCGGCCAATAAGTTGTGGTGTTTAATAAATCTAAAATTTATCTTCAATTCCCGTAATTGTGTTAATTGTGACAATTGGTCCGCAACTTCGGCGTGACTGTCGTTATCGTTAAATGTTATGCAAAACACTTCAACACTTTTGAGGCATTGATTGGCGGCCAATACCCCCGACAACCGACGCTTATCGGCGCCGAAGTCGTATCTAAACTTAAATGAGTGCAAATTCTTCACCAATGGTTGCGAACTCCAAGTGTTGCCGAACACAGTTTGCAGTCCATTGACCTCCAGATGAGACAATCGGTGACAATGGCTGAGTGCGTAACAATAAGAAACGCCGTCTATTCGGGTGACCAGTGGTGCCAACTCTTGGAACCAATTCTCAGGGTTTGCCCACAATTTGCAGTAAATTTGCCGCAAATTCGGAAAATTATGCAAAAGTTCAAAACCACGCAAACAATCAGTTGTCGTACTTTCCCGCGAATCGATTACTCGTATGTTTGGACACTTCATACCAATTGTGGTCAATATTTTGATGTTAAACGCTATTACAGCCAATCGTTGGCTAAAATTAAAGTCCACAATACTTTCAAAGACTGTCCTCTGGAACTGTTTGGACACACTTTCGTACCGGAATCGGTCTTCAAATGAGAGATAAGACAACAAAAGTTGACACAAATCATCACCGAATCTGTCCATTGAGTTCTTCGCATACATTTGTGTCTAAAATGTGAGACAAAACTAATGAAAACTCAATAAAAATTTAATTGAGTGTCAAATACCTGTTGTCTCTCATCGTCTTTGAGATCATCTCTGGTAACAACTGATCTCATCGTTGGTGTCATTGGTTGCGACATAGCGTGTGAACAATTGAAGTGATGGTATAAATAGATAAATATATTTAAATATTTTTATTGTGAATTATAATTTAGTCCTAATTATAGCTACAATTATAAGTTAAATGATAATAAATTTTGGTATGAATTTTAAGAACCAATTATTGGATGACTTTATATGTGTAGAAATTGGGAGAAAATTTTTAAAACAATAAGAATTACTAAAACAAACAGATTAAAGGATTATATCCAGGGTCATATTTATGATCATGATAAAAACTGGAACCAATAGGCAAACAATTTGGCACTACTTTGCGAGAACTTTACCTTTAAATGCCTTAATCGGTGGCAATGTCTCAATCATATGCTTAATCCAAAAGCCTATCTAATCTGAACGCAAAAATATTGGGCTACAATAGAAGTTAATCCCTAACCGTAAGTATTCTCATAAAACAAATGTTAAATAATTTTTTAAAAATATAAATCTATTATAAAAAACAATTTTATATAAAAATAAAATGAAATATTGTTAACAAATAAAGTAGTTGTAAATACATGTATAAAATAAACGTATTATTTAAATATAATTATTTGATAAATTCAATTATATTTATAAATATCTAAACATTTATAGCATTTTTATTTTGAATAAAACTTCTTCTCATTGTTTACACGGATTTCAATTGTCTTGAGTTTAGGACTCGAAGACAACAGATCCTCGAAGTCGTTATCTCTGAGAGATTCACTTAAACCTACGATTACAAGCATTTGAAGCGCCGGTAGTCTTGAGATGTGATCCAAACACCTGACGCCTATTGTCTTATATCTGTAATGAATGCATAGGTATTGAAGTCGTGGCCAATGTTTGTCACAATTAAACAATAATTTGGATGTAATTTCATATGAATATAGTGTTAAATGTGTTAATCGGTGGCAGAGTTTCAACGGTTCCAACAGATCCTGATTGACAGACGGATATATAAATAAATCCAAACATTTTATTTGCGGTAAATATCGCAACAAATCCAATGTCTGGACAATAGATGTCTTATTATCCACACCTCGTGAGCGCAACTCAAGTGACAATCGTTTCAATTGTTTGCAATTTAACTCAATTGCGAGCAAAAAGTTCTTCAATGAGTGCTGATTAGGTCTGACATCTAAACTGAGTGTCAATCGCCGTAATTGTGGTAATCGTGACAATTGGTCCGCAAACGCAACGACAGTCTCATAACTATCACCTCTTAATGAGAGACTTCTTAGGGACTGATTCTCGGCCGCGAATGCAG